TTATACATCCCTTAAGCGTCAAATTAAGTGAAATTTCACTTTTCAAAAATATAATTATATTTTTATTGAAATTATGATATCTTTAACAATGATTGTTTTAATAAAAGTTTTAATATTTTTATAAAAATTTCGGCAAAACTTTCTTTATAAATAAAATTTTTCAAAATCTCTATAACAGAAATTATTGTAGTATGCATTCAACAGGTTAAAACTATATTTCCCAAATACAAACAGTCAACATAATAGAACAAAAATCAGGATCCTAGCTATAGTTAACGTGGAGCTCTTAAAGTATAAATTTTTTTTAAATAAAACATCTAATTGAATATTTAAATTAAAAGAGAAGGGATTTACAAAAATAAATATTTATCCAGCACAGTTGCAAGCCCTTAAAAGTTGGCAAGAGGTCCAGCGTCAATTAATAAATCTGAGACCAAAATAATTTTCAGTGAATAGCATCTCCAAAAATAGAATTTAACAGAGCAAAATAATAAACTTACTATTATATGAAATAATTGAAAGGAAATTAATTCAGATTAATAACTCACAATATCTAGAAATATCAATTATAATAATAAAACATGAATAAATTAAAATTTCTCGAATATGATATGTTAAAGGAGGATAATTTACTCATAATTGAATAAAAGTAGCAACCTTACTAACTACAAACATTGAAAATTCAATTATACTAGCTGAGAACAATCAATTTAATATAATCATGAATTTGAAGATTAAGAAGTTTTATATAACTTCAAAGTACTAAACCACCAAATTAATAATAACAAAACAGTTCAAACTCTTTTCTTGTAAAGCAAATTAAATAAATAAATAAATAATAAAAGTACCCTTTATTAAATAAAACCAATAAAGCGTTTATTCATGAATCAATTAAAAGCTAATATTTTTAAGGACTTTCGCAGAACAAGCATCAAATGTGGACACACAGTCCACGAGGGTAAAATAACCAAACGTGGCTTATGCCACAAAAACAAACGTGGACACACCAATCCACGAGAGTAAGTAACCAAACGCGGCTCAAGGCCACAGAACAAATGTAGACACACAATCCATGAGGGTAAGTAACCAAACGCGACTTAAGGCCACGAAACAAATGCGAGTACGAGGCTCGCAAATAACAAACGTGAAAACAGAGCTCACGAAAACCAAACTAGCTAGTCATTAACCGAGGCGCATCAAGGGCTAATGGAACTGCCGTTAGCAATAGTGCTCTGCTTAAAGTTCTCGTGAAATCACTTTTCAAATATGCGAGAATAATCATTTTTGAAATACACTTTGTGTTCTCAATATCAAACTCGCACGAATCATTTCAAATCTCAGAGTTTGCCAAAACATTATTTCATAGCAAATGTATAAGCTTGTACTAGATGAGTAACTAAGAATTTCAAAAGTAAAATAAACAAAGATGCCTCCATCGATCTTGAAAATATATTTCGTAAAGAAAATACATGCATATACCATAATTTAATTAACATTTACCATCATTCTAAAATTTTCAGAACCAAAATGATTTCATTAACAAACAAAGTACATAATAATCATCATAGTTGTTAAAATGATTTATATGAAAATGTAATATTTTAAAAACAGACTACTTTAATTGAAAAATGATGGGGTGCTATTCACTTACCTGTTAAATTCCCAACCCAATGATTTTCTTCCTCAATTCTTATCAGGAGACTCATCTTCCACATACCCTATATAAATAAATGAAATCTCAATTTGCTTCCTATAGTTATATAAACTTTATTCCATTACCAACACAATCCCAACCACTTGGAAGTATTTAAGATTTCAAAAACCAAAATTTATATCTTAATGATCTCCAGACATCATCACTTACCACCAAGTTACCTCATATCATACCAATCATAACTACTATTTAAATGAGATATGGTTTTTCTTATACCTTGTGTCAAACACCTTGGGTGTAAGATTTCCAAACACCTACAATTAAATTTATCATGCTTATTTTGCCATTTCTCAAATATCTTAAATGTCTTCTCAAGATCGAATGATAAACACCCCTTTTCGTATGAATTTATAAATTACTCAACATAAATCTTCTAAAAATTCAACTAACCATACTCTAACCCAAGAATCAAACTCCTTGCGTTGCTCAAGTTAAAACTCACATAAATAAAATTTGAATCGATCATGCCGCTCATCCCACTAAATAGAATTCCAAAAAAAAGTCTAAATCTAGAAAAACTCTTCAAACAAGCATCTTACCGAACACCTTATAAGCACCAATCTCAATCTTATACCTAAGTCCTTCCCTTCCAACTTCATCCCACCAAATCCTCAAAATCAATCAATTAGACCAAATTACTTCAACTTAAAATTCAAACCCATATATACCATTATGAAACTTTAAGATCCATTTCTAACTCAACTTTGAATTTTCATTGTCGTTTCATTCTTTTTTTTTCCAGCAACACGGCAGCAGCAGAACCAACAGAGAAAAATTTGAATTTTGATATCCATGACTTCATCCACTTACACACACAGAAATTCTCTAAGGAAAAGAGAAGTGATCACGTTTCTTACCTCTAATAAACCAACACGCACAAACAGGGAGAGGAAGAGAAAATCGTGCCTGGACAGAGGAGGGAAAAAAACTGTCGTTGAGGGCAAGGAAGAGATTAACAGATCGGTAACTAATAAAGCAAGCAAAAGAAAGCAAACCTTCTTGCACCCATCCATACAGTCACCAACAGCACAAAATAAAGAATTTTGGCGAGCTGGAACAGAGGAGAAGAAAGGAACAGAAGCCATGAGTTGTTAGATTAGTGTCGGACGGAGCTTCCACAATCACACCGATGAAGATTCTAATCGGAAAGGATGAAGGAGGAGGTGAAGCAGGAGGACCGAGCACCAGAATCATTTCTCTCTCTCTCTCAGTCGTCGATCTCTCTAGAAAAATCGAAGGAGCGGAGGAGAATATATCAGATTTATCATAGGGGTAGTTTGGTAATTTCACAGAGAAAAAAATGAAAAAATAATCCTCCTTGTGGCTTTCAGCAAATTCAAACTTATGACCTATTGAGGGAATACTTGCACAACTACCACTACACCAGCTTTCCTTCTTGACATACTTGTCCCAATAATTAATATATTTACAATCAATACACATTATTACATATTTAATTTAATTGTTTTTTTTGTTATTACAATGATAATGTCTTATACATTTATAATTGTATTTATTGGTAATTATAAATTAAAAACATTCCAAACTATATTAGTCCCGAAAAGTTTGAGTCATATGACTACTAAATTAATCCCTTTGATATGGTAACCGACAAGTCAAAGTACTACATTATGTAATAATGTCACACAACAGATTAGAACAAGCTTATAAGCAGTGTTTGGCAACTACCATCGTTTTGCGTACTTATTTCTTAGGAAACATTACACGAAGGTCTTACTCTCAAATTTTAAATCATGTGCATTTATAATTGGGCAACGGGCATTCAAAACTTGCTGTTACAAGTGGTCTTTTTTTTTTTTTACAAATTATAAATGCCCATTGTTTGATTATAAATGTGCAAGATTTAAAATTTATGAATATTTTATAAATTTTATAAGATCTCTCGATAATAAACTTTCTTCTACGAGACTTATGTGTAATGTTCTCTATTTCTTACAATAGTGTTATGTATTTGGCGTTCAGCCATCCAATCAAATATTGTCTAGTTATCAAAATGAAAAGAACAGGATTACTCAGGGGCATTTTACAAAGCAACTAGGTCAAGACTCTTGCTGGTTTTGATTCCTCTTCCAGCTACCTGTGAGTTCAAGCCAAGAAAACGTGTCAAAACCATGATTTATGCAATGTGTTATTATATATGCAAATCACATTATCACAAGCTATATCTTTGTTGTACATTCAGCATAATCATTAACCCCAAACACAATAGAACTAGCAACGAGGGCGTTAGCTACATCCTTGATCACATGCCAGACTAGAATTAATTAATAAATATTGCATATCTTGCAACTCTATGTTAAAGTCATCTCCAATTGTAGGCCCAAAATAAATTAATAATAAAATAAAAGTGCATCTTGAAGAGCAAGACAATCAAAGGACTTGCAAGCAAGAAGAATAGCTTGCAGGCACATTTCCATCTATAAACATTCCATTTGGATAAACCCTTTGTACATCTAAGCGATGAGTAAACAAGAAGGGGGGGGGGGAGAAGTGTAGTGTGAAGAAGAGTGTAAAAAGTTTAAGTTTATTATTTTGAGTTTGCAATAAAAAAATTTCTTCCATTTAAGTTTTTCTTCTTATTTTTTTCAAATATTTTGGGCCTTTTTCTGCGTATAGATTCAATACTCGGCTGATGTGGCCTATGTTCTGAAATTCTATACAAAGTAAGCAATCTTGTTCTCATCCTTCCTTGTCATTTTTGGTTTCCTTTCTCCATCCAAGAAATTAATCCAAAACCTGGGACGAGATCTGTTAATGGAAGTTTGAATTATTCAGTAATATAAATGATTTCAAAACAATTTGCAGGTAGAGGGGTTGACAGTCCATTCGATTTAGAAGAACCTCCTGCCTCAAACAAATACTATACAAGCCTTGTTGCAATAATTTTCCATGTATGGAGGTAAAAGAGATGCTCGCTTTTGTAGCAGTGTAATATTTACAATACAAAACATGTGCAGTTACTTGTTGAATAGATTTTTTTTTTTTTTGGGAAGGGTAACCGGGGGCACACTAGACAACTTCTAATTATTTTTCATTTTTATTGTAAACATAAGAAATGAAAGTTGTTGCGTCTCTCCTGCTACTTATTATTATTTATTATAAATAAACTAATATTAATACGATGGACAAATTTTTCATTGTTTATACTGAAAAATATATTCTCCGGTGCAGGTCCTTTTTTTTTTTTGGGGGGGGGGGGGGGAATATATACTCACGGAAAAGCCAAGCTTCGTATGCCAGTTGTCTATAATCAAATCTAACACAATACGGCCAACAAACGTGTAGAGCACCCACTTGTTCCCGTCAAACGTAGTTGCTGCCGACAAAACATTTCTGCCTTAGAAATTCAGTAGGGAGCAAACAAAAACAAATTTGCGAAATCCTTTTCTTCTACACGCGTTCCGGTGGCTCTGGGTATGACTCTCAGCCGTTTTACCATGGGCAAGGCATAACCGCAAGACCAAGGGGTAATAAATGCTTCATATACCGACAGGGACACGCTCTTCGATCCATCTCCGCGCGCCGCTATTTTACAGTCTTGGGTTCACTCACCATTCCCAACACTTTACGGGACATAACATCCCGTGATCTGCTCGACCTCGACTATTTGGTTGGAGCAAAGCTGGGTGGGCGTACCCATATGATGATTTGTGGGTACAATGAAGAGGGTCAATAGGAATCCGTATGATGACGCAGAAAAGCTCTCAGATTTGGACACCCGCAGCAGCTTTTCAAGGGATTCTGACAAGAAATGGGGTTTTAATTTGATGCAATTAATGGGGTTCTTCCTTCTTTGTTTGATGCTCTTCTCTGTACTGTTTTCAGTGTCGGTGGTTCTCCGAGACCCCCCTTCAGATGGCATTGTCGAAGCATCTACTTCTGTTGTATTTCAAGCTGAACAAAGTGGAGGTATTTGGTTATTCATGCGCTTTAGTTTATTGTGGAAGTTGCATTACAGATTCTCTCATGAATCAGGCATCGAAATGATTACTGTTTTGATGCATATGAACTGTTTAGCTCCAACTCCGATCTTCTTTTGCCTCCTACAATCTAATTCTGTATAAGCTGATCGATCTTGTTGCTTCCTTATAACTTATATGCTGATGGTGGTGAAAAATGAAATGATAAAATCAGCACTTATAGTTGTCTACCAGAGAACTATATTCTTGGATCGAGCTATTTCACCATTTAGTTTAGCCCAATTCAAGGAATAGAAACCAAAGAATAAGACCGGAAGTTGAATGAGACTAATTTTCTATTTTGCTTTTGCTTTTTCTTTAACTTATGCTGTCGTGTGCCTTAGTCTTTGTTTTTGGGATGAAACATTGAATACTATTATATGAAAACTAGCACAATTACAAGAAAAACACTGACAAAGAGCAATCTCTCATCAGTTGCTACCTCAAGCAGGGACAAAAGGAGTGCCTGCTCAAAGATTTCCCTTCTTTTAGCTCTTCCTATTTGCATTACATGTTAAGATTATTTTAGTACTCTACTTACTAAAATGGCGCAGAAGTATATTTCTTTCCTTTTAAAGTCACGTTTTTCATAGTATGAAAAACGAATAACTACTTGTTTCAGTCAACTGCGGAATAAAATTTGCCAGAAATGTTACTGACGAGTGACAAATGGCCACGTGAATATCTGTTTATCTTGGATCAGTGGTTACAGGAATGGAAGGAAGATTCTTGTTTTCAAGTTTTCTGAATAAAATTTGCCTGGCTGCTAGTCTGCTGTTGTCATTTTACTGAGAAAAAGAATAGCTGTTTTAGTGAATCAGAGCATCCTTTTCCCTTTTTGCCTACTCTTAATCGGTTGTTGAAGTTTTCTTCTTCACTCTTGTTCCCCCCTTCTGAAATATCTCTATTGTTGCTGATTACCTTACTAGTGTGTGGTTGATTTCTGTTTCATATTTCCCATTCAATATTTCTTTCTAAAAAATCTTATTTGACGTGGTGCAAGAATGTTTTCTTGACTGCTTTTTGTGGAAACTTTGATCAAGTCATGGATTATATTGTTTTTTGACTCAGGTTTGAACAAAGGGTTCTCTGGTTCTGTTGAGTTGCCAAGAGATGAGCTCTTGGGTGGCCTTCTTGCTGCTGGATTTGATGAAAGATCTTGTCTGAGCAGGTATATGTCAGGAATACATGGCAAAGGACTGTCAGGAAAGCCTTCTTCTTATTTAATTTCTAGGTTAAGAAAATATGAAGCCCTCCACAAAGAATGCGGACCTTATACTGAACCCTATAACAAAACAATGAAGGAGCTCAGGTCTGGTCATTCATCTGGGTCGTCAGGTTGTAAATATGTAGTTTGGATTTCATTTAGTGGGTTAGGGAATAGGATATTGACCTTAGCCTCGGCATTTCTTTACGCTCTGCTCACAAACCGTGTTCTACTGGTTGATCCTGGAGTTGATATGAGGGATCTCTTTTGTGAACCATTCCCTGATATTTCCTGGTTTCTCCCTCGTGATTTCCCCCTTACCACTGAAATGCACAATCTCAATGAGCAATCTGCTCAATGTTATGGGAAGATGCTGAAAGACCATTCAATTAGAAATTCCACTGTGCCATCTTATGTCTACCTTCATCTAGCTCATGATTATGATGATCAGGATAAGCTATTCTTCTGTGACGAAGACCAAAGTTATCTCCGGAAAGTACCCTGGTTAATCTTGAAAACAGATAATTACTTCATCCCATCCCTATACCTAATGCCTTCGTTTGAGCAGGAACTTAATGATCTCTTCCCAAAGAAGGACACAATCTTCCATTTCTTGGGTAGATACCTTTTCCACCCCACCAACAGGGTATGGGGACTTGTTACCAGGTACTATGAAGCCTATTTAGCTAAAGCCGATGAAAGATTAGGCATCCAGATTAGAGTGTTTGACACAGAACCAGGCCCATTTCAACATGTATTGGATCAAATCTTGTCCTGTACTTTGAAAGAGAATCTTTTGCCTGATGTAAACAGACAGCAAGACACCGTGCTAAGTTCATCAGGAAAGCAAAAGTCAAAAGCAGTGCTAATGACATCTTTAAGCTCAGGGTATTTTGAAAAGGTAAGGGACATGTATTGGGAGTATCCTACGGTGACAGGAGAGGTGGTTGGCATATACCAGCCAAGCCATGAAGGGTATCAGCAAACAGAGAAGAAGATGCACAACCAAAAAGCTTTGGCAGAAATGTATCTGCTAAGTTTAACTGATGTGCTGGTCACTAGCTCATGGTCAACTTTTGGGTATGTGGCCCAAGGCCTGGGAGGTTTGAAGCCATGGATATTGTACAAGCCGGAGAATCGAACAGCCCCGGACCCTCCTTGCCAACGAGCCATGTCAATGGAGCCATGCTTCCATGCTCCTCCCTTCTATGACTGCAAGGCCAAGAGAGGAACTGACACTGGTGCACTTGTTCCACATGTGAGACACTGTGAGGATATGAGTTGGGGCCTTAAGGTTGTTGACAAATGAAGGTTATTTATGAGTTATGGCGATGTGTGTTACTGTATTGTGACTGTCAAAGCTCAGCTACGAGGGATGCAAATTTTCTCGCGAAATTGATTTTTTCTTTTGGACGATATTTGTGGAATTGATTTTCCGAGTCCTATTTCATGTGACCCCCCCCCCCAAAAAAAAAAAAAAAACACCATGATAAACAGATTTGAGTACCCTCTGTAGAGATTATCATATTCAGATTTGTGTAGAATTTGAGCAAGAAGTGCTCATTTTCGTTTCAGATAAAGCTTTTTATGATGTCTTACAAGTAGTTTTTTGCTATTGAGCTCTTGGTTGAAAACGTGAGAAATGTGTGAATTTTATAGCATTTATTTGCAACTTAATATCTCATGGGAGAATTTTATTGCAAAGATGCGAAAAATTGGACGGCCAAAAAAAAGAAAAAAGCAAACAAACTTGGTCGTAAATAACTAAATATGTATAAAAAAAGTGTGTGGTTAATGTTTAATTTAATGTTTTTCTTCTCCTTGGCCCAAAAAAATAGTAATTATATTTTTCTTCTCTTCAGTTTTTGGAGTGTTTTATCTCAATTGCAATGCTGAGGAATTCAATGGGAGTGCTTCATTTATTGGGCCTAAATTGAAGCCCAACATTTGTCTTTAGATAATGTGCCACTAATCAGAATGGTCCATAACTAATACCAAAAAAAAAAAGTAAGGTCCATAACCCAAAACCGGTCCCTCAAATGGGCCATCATAAACTTTTTCTAGCCAAGCCTTGTCACTAGATTTTTGTTCTTTTGCCTGATTTGTCATGTAAGCACGATGTCACACGTTTTAATTATCATTCAAGATTTTTAAAAAAAAAATATTACAATATTCAATATAACTAATTTAGAATTTTTAAACTAAAATCTTTATAAATCACTATATTAGGTAAAATATGTAACAACTAAAATGAATAAGAGCATTTTATATGCACTCAAGTGAAAGGTATTTTATGAAATTTTCAATTCATATGATAAGAGTCAGCTCTTAAATTCAAACATGGTTTTGTTTTTGGGAAGAAGTTCAAATCATTTTAAAAAACGAAAAGGTTCGCCAGCCAATCCCGATCAGCTTGAATGAAAATAAACACAATGAAGTAATGGAGAATCATGTTATAAAATAAAGAATAATTCTGACACTTGGCACCAAAAAGATTACAATCAATCAATGAGAGAATATATCTCGACGTCAAGATTCTAATAACATATTTGAGAAAACACACACAAAGTTGGGAGGCACATCCCCATCGTATCGAATTCGAATAATTTCTACTCCGAGTCAAAAAAACAAAACACAAATAATCAAAGAAAGAGAATTAAATAGGATGTTTAGGAAATTGCCAAGTGAGCAAGCAATTGTACAAAATGCCACGCGTGTTCCCACATGCTTACCAACTAATAATTTTCATTCAACACAGAACGCATAATGCCATACACATATATTGGAGAATGCTATTTCACTTTCCATTACACTAATCTCAATCATGCATTCAACACTACCCTCTAAACTTTGTATAAATCATCTGTCCACGTCCGATAATAACACGCCTTCCTTTTTTTTTCAATGTTAGGTATATAATTTTTTTCAACAGAGTTATTTGTTTAAAGCTGATTATATAAATATATATATATATATATATGCATATTTTTCTTTTATGGATTCTTGGTTGATGCACGTTCTTGGGGAAATAAGATGCAATCCTACGTTCTCACCAATTGGAAGCATGCCAATAATTAGTATGATCTTGATTCAAAAATGGGAAACTATTGGTAATTATTTAAAATTATTTACAAGTCCATAATGGCTACCAAATAAAATAACTAATTCAATTCAAACAGTTTCAGCGTGTTGTTTCCCTGAGCAAAGTTTCATATTCAGGTTTTCTGAATGAATTATTTTTTTGCTAAAAGGATTCTAGATCCATATGATTAATAGTTAAATCAATCATACTTTGAAGCCAAAATCACGTTAAAACAAAACGAAAAAGAAAATGGCTTTTGGAGTTGTCCAAGCGGACTATCTTAGGCATTCTTTGTGCATCAGCATCATATAATGCAGGAAGAGAGAAAGACCAAACGCCTCATTTAATACGAGAAAAAAGTTGTTTGATGGACGAGATGGAAGTGAAAATAAAAGTAAAAATAAAAATGGAAGTGAAATAAATATTTTATTTGAGTGATAATGGTGGAATTGAATTCTTATAGAAATATAATGGATGTAGGACCCACTTGATATGCTTGAGAAGGGTGGAAATGAAATTAAAGGTGGAAATGAGATTTTAGTTTGTTTGGCATGATAGAAGTCAATTCCATGTAGAAGCCATTTCTACCAAAAATGATGGAATTCATTTCCATAATAAAATATCAAATTTACAATTTCATGTTTCCTTTTTCAATTCTTACCCATTCATCCCTTGACTACTAGCCACCTTCCTCAGCCGACCTTCCATGTTCCCTTCCTCTCTCTAGTTCCCTTGACATTCATCCCTCATCGCCTGTGCAAGACAATTGTCAATGTGAGCATTCATCGTTGTCGCCATTATGGTTTTGAAATCCTGACAAACAGGATCGTTTCTTAGGCAACTTTGATTTTGACTTCATCCACCACCTCTCCTCCTTCATCATCTCATAACGGCAAGGATGAACCAATGTGAGGAGAACATTGTTGGATTATCTACAAATGGTCAAGATATGAACATAACCTCAATTTCATATTTGTGGTTGGCTGATCGCGAGTGGCCCTGTGCTTCTATGGATTCACCAACGGACTATCAATAATGAGGAAGAGACGGCAACCCATTGATGCTAGATCTGTAGATCTTCATTTTGTTGATCATCATCAAGCTCTTGTCTTGGGGTTGGATCTGATTTTGATTTGCTTTGTTATTGTTGTTATGGCTGGTGGGGAGTGTGCCGTCGATTGTGGAGGGCGTTGCAAGTGTAGCTTTTTTTTTTTTGGTGAGTGAGGGTATTTTGGTCTCTTAGCATTATGAAAATGCATTTTTAAATAAAAATTATATCATAATTCTATGAACATACCAAACATATTTTTAATCTCCATTTCCACTTTCATATTCATATTTATTTTCATTTTCATTAAAATCACTTTCATTACCAAATGGGGCATAAGTTTCATGGCTTTTTGTGGAATTGGGTTGTTCAGAGAATTAGGTTCCTGCCCATCAAACAAGAAAATTTCAAAGTTCCAGTCCCACTCTCACTTTTTCAATCACACTTCCAACTTATCAAACAGAACATAAGATAAATAAGTGAGGCGTATCACGCTACTAAGACTAGCCGATGAAACTCATTTCGTCCCTTTAATATCTCTCTCTCCCCATATATTACTTAATACATTGTAGACAATTAGAGTCAAGTAATTATGGAGAAAATGAAACGTTTGAGAATGAATAATTTATTGTGCTGGAGACAAAAGTATCCACATCAAAATGTTGCAATCAAATATTTGTTGCATTTTAAAAATTGAAAAATAGAAGGTTGTGACTTGTGAACTGTGATCAACATTTTTTTTTTTTTGTTTTAGACTAATCCGATTGACGACTTGTGAGTGCCTTCTTGATAGGCTTATCTTTGACCAAGAGTTTAATTGTTATACATATCCAAGACCAAAACTCAATTCTTCTAATTAAAGGAACTAACCTCTTAGCTAGTTAATCCAAATGCCCCATAGTTGTCATCAATAATCTTGGGAGGAGTGAAGCCCAAAAATGAGGGACCATTGCCTGATTGACACAAATGTCCACCAAATGCAGTTCAATTTAAGCCCTACTGCTCCATTAATCTACTAATCAAATATTTTCGTTCCATAATCTTAATTTAAAAAATCGCACATCATTCTCGGAAAGACATTATTATTCTTATTCTTCTTCATTCGTTTCATAAAAAATAACCTTATTTTCTTCAAAGACAATTCCATGAATCCACATAAATATTTGTGCCTTGCATGGGCTAATCATGGTCGGGCATCAATTTGCCGCTTCTAAAACAATGTATTAGAAAGTCCAATAAAAACAATGTATTTGAAGGTATCCCAAGAACGCCTTTCAAGAAAATATCACATTATATTTTATTTAGAACAAAATCCAATATACCAACATGCACTAATTCCAGTGAAAGTGACTATTGCAATTTAATTATGAGATCTTGAGTCTAAATTAATGTGAATGCCAAAAAAAAAAATCTTCAGAAGAATTACCCCTAATAAAGCCTAACAATATTTGAATTTGATCTAGTTTGGTAGTCATATAAAAACTTTAATATATTAAAAAAAACTACATATTAGCATACATTTGTTTAGCCAGCCAAAAGATTGGCAAACATTAGAAGCATCCAATAAATAAAAATTTGGGAAGTTGCTTGCAAATGAAAATGATGAGAGAATTCACGCCTGAAAATATCATTAGTCATAAATAATGTAAATAAAAAGATAGAATGGTTTCAAAATGAACGTCTCGATCTCACATGACAGTGCAGTCAAAATTTTAAAAGTGAGGGATGGGGCCAAATTTAGTGAGGATAAGGTCGATATTTTCCACGCTTATGCACTCGAAAGACGATTTGAATTTGATTGTGCCCCAACAGAAAAAGAAATATCTCATTTCATACCACAAATTCTGTTTCCATGCTTGTCCGTTTCTCGTTTTTACTCATTTTCTCTTTTGGCTTTTTTTGGCATTAGATTTAGAAGTGTGCGTATAATGTATTATTTGGTGCTCTCAAAAATGCCACGCAATCTGCATTAGCCAATCACGACGGTAATTAATATTCACCTGACCCTTATATGACCTGGCAACACGTGGCGAAGACGATACCTCATTAATTTATGATCGCTTCTCGTGTGGTCCTTGCTCTGCACGCAGTTTATTCTTCAATTCACAACAACAATAATACATATTGAATTAAACAGTACTGGTATCATAAATTTCGTCGACTTATTTTAATACCCTATCAACACTCATGTCTCTCCCCTTGTTGGTCCTCGTTCCTCGCGAAAGAAAGTCAGGTGCTTTTAAAAATTTACTTTATTTAACTGATTTTTAAAAAAAAATATTTAAATATAAATTATGTTAAGGTCACAAACTTTTTTTTCTAACCTACTAATCTTAATTAATTCCAACTTCAGTTATAATTTTTTTATTTCAAAACACCTTAAGTCATTAAAAGTGGACATTAAAATAGTTGAGACAAGTACAACCTACTAGGCTACAGAGTTTGGAAATAGTGAAATACAATTAGAACCATTGCGATCTCAA